GACAGCTACCGGAAGGAAAATCGGAACAATTACGGAATGCGACCACCTCTTTTTAACCTCTCCCAAGTATGTCAACGTTGGCGATATCTCATAAATGATGAACCAAACCTGTGGTCTTTTGTCTGCATCGCCCCAACAGAGAGGTGGCGACAGGACGAGTACGAGCTCGTCGCTAACTCGGTCAAGAAATCAATCATTCCAGTCACGATCATGACCAACCTATCTCAATACTTCTCCTTAGGTGATCCTGATCGCCGTGGAAAATTCTTTGGTTTTAAAACTCTTCGAACCGTTTCCCCGACTGAGAGCACTCTATTCAACGGCAAAGAATATACATTTCTCGTTGATATCCAGCATGACGAGCACGAATATCTAGAAAGGCTAGGAAACATGCCTTTACGACAAGCAACCTCTCTCATCCTCTCCCCCCGAACCAATATCGATTTTGAGAATCTATTTAGCTATGTTTCAAATTTCTCTGGAGTAAATTCTTTCTCTATTATCAACGATAATCCTTCAAGTCTCCCGAGTATCAACATGTCCTCCTATTTTCCTCGCCTCCGTGAACTATGCTTACAAGTCAAAGCGTTTCCCTCAAACTTTTCTTTGGGATCTTACCTCCCTACCACTCTCCAAGTGCTCCGACTACGTAATGATGATGGGGGCAGGTTGCCAAATTTGCCTTCCAACGTCCAGCTCCCTCACCTTCAAGCCCTGGAAATTACATCTCCTGGATCCTATTTACTCGATAGGCTCACAGCCAAAGCACTCAAGTCCTTAACCTTGTATAGTCCTCATGACTGTCATGGAACTCAGATCTCCTCGTCCATTAAAGCGGCGGTGATACACGGACAATTACTCCATCTGAAGTTTGCGGATTGGAAGCCTCCAAATACGTCGAGTGAATCACTTAGAGCCGTCGCGGTATTCCGGGCTCTTAGCGAGAAGACACCACAGCTACTTACTTTGAACTTTTCCAGAAGCTTTGTAGATGGAGGAACGCTAGTGTCGACGATAGGAAAGATTACGGACGAATCCACCGATACATCTAAACGGAGGGAGTTAGAGGAACTAACGCTGAGCTATCCAGCTGGAATCACGAACGACCAGTGTGAAGAACTCAAGAAGCTAGTGAAGAAGGTGAAGATACACATGTAAAGTCGGTAAGCTATGTCCT